AGGGTCTGAGAGCTGATTCCTGGTGCTGGGGGGCTCATCCCAGAAGGCTCTTTGGGATCCAGGGAGGCCAGGCGCACTGAACTGCAGGCCCTGAGAGGTGCGTGGATATGTGTCTGAAGCTGTGTCGGGCCTGCCTACTGCAAACAGGGAGGCAGGCCTGGGTGCTCTGAGACTCTAATCTCCCTTCTGCCAACTGTAATAGCAAGATTGACCTCAGAGCTGGTGCTGCTGCAGCTCGAACTTAAGGCTGTAAAGTGCACAGCCTTGGCCTGGGGCCAAGACTACACACTGCAAAGGTCCCAGGAAGAGCTGGAAGGTGCAGGCAGGAAACTGCGGATGCCACTCAGGCTGGCCCTTGCCTGGGTCCCTCAGGTCCTCTCCACAGGGAGCTTTTTCAGTGTGTGCCACACGCTGTGTGAGTGGCCTTGCCTGCCGTCCTCTGCCAACCCCAGGAGACCTGAGCCAGGTGCTCTAGTGTTTGCAGATGAGGTACCGTAGGTCAGGGAGGCCCTGCCTATGGCCAGCCATGGGGAAGCACAGAGGCAGATTTGAAGGCGGCCCCAGAGCCAGCGCTCACCTTAGGAGGCCCCACTGAGTTAAATGCAGGAATCCCAAGAGGAGCCTTCACAGTCTTCAGCCTGTGGGACTGGGGAAGGGGGACCTGGGAGCCAGGTTCAACACAGGGTCGAGGGAGTGAAGGAGGGCAAGAGACCAGGACTGGTGTGCGGAGCTGGCTGGAGAGGCCCTGGGAGGGGCCCAGAGCCAGCCATGGGGTTTTCTGAAGCTTCTTCCTTCTTGGGGCCCCAAAGAGGCTCAGAGACTCACTGATCTTTATTTTCCTTGAAACGAATTACTATTAGAAAACTCCATGAATTTGAGTTTACGGAAATGTATGAGTGCCTGGGAGTGGCGTTCAGGCACCCAGTGAGCTTCCCTGCTCTGCTCCTGTTTGGGGCAACTGAGTCCTGACACTGATCTTGGGACCGAGGGCATGGGCTGCTCACAGAGGAGAGAACCAGGGCCTCCACCTGCCCAGGCTGCTGCAACACAACACGGAAAACTGGGTGGCTTATAAACAACAGAAACTTCGCTCTCAGTTCTGGAGGCTGCAATGGTCATGATCAAGATGTGAGCAGACTCGGAGCCTAGTGAGAGTTCACTTTCTGGCTTAAAGAGGACATCTTTTTGCTATGTCTCAAGTGGACTTGCCTAGCTGACTCTCTGGGATCTCTTTGATAAGAGCACTCACCCCATGCATGAGGGCTTTGCCCACATAACCCGATCACCTCCCAAAGGCCCCACTCCTAACACTATCCATTGGGGATTAGGTTGCAACCTGTGAATTTGTGGGGACACAAACATTCAGCCCATAGCACCCAGCATCTCACAGAGAAAGCCTGGTGCTCACAGAGACCATGAGCTAACTATGCGAGCCAAGGTTGGAGTTGAAGGTTTCAGAGAAAACTGAGTGGTCAATACTTGGAACCCAGAGAGCCTTTCATGTGTGTCCCCCACCCCCACTCACACCAGCTTGTTCCTCCAATCCTGCTTCCTTGTGCTGGGGTCTTTCAATGCACCCTGTCCTGGGTCCCTATGCTTCTCCAGGATGGCACCTGGAGTCCAACACCGTTGCTTCCTTTCCTCTTTATCTGCAAACCTTTCCAATTCCTCTGTAAAACATGCAGTAGTATTTAACACCTAGATTTCAAGTGATCAAACAAGGCATGATGACAAATTTTAAAAAAAAAAGACACTAGTTCTTTGAAGGGAACCAAAATGAACTCTCTTTTCCCCTCGTCTTCTAGCTCCCTTGTTTTCCCATGGTTATCTTACCTCATTGATCATACTTAGACAGATACCTATATGTCTAGTTTAAATCCCCATTTCTCAAGTAACAGTCAAGCCACTTAGCAAGAGTCTAAAGCAAGCCAATATAAAATAATCTGCCCAGTGTAATATTTGGCCAAAGGTTGCTATTCCAGAGTAGGTTAATTATTCTAAGAGGACATACTTTTACTATAACTATTGATCGCCATGAACTAATTTTAAAAACCCTGCTGTTTATTAAGTGCCTCTCTATCCCTAGAAGCTTTTACATATTATCTCATTTCATCCTCAGCACAACTCAGTGAAAGGTTTTTCAATTTTAAGACAATTTTAAAATCAAGTTGGTAAAATTACCCAAGATCACAAGTTAGTGATAGGCAGAGCCAAGATTCAAACAAAGTCATAAGTGATTATCTGACTGTGTTGTATTGCTATTGCTTTCTTTTTTAATTAATTAATTTTTTTTAACCTGGACAGCAAGCCTGTTCTTACAGGATACTATTACTTTCAACTTAAAAATTGTGCTTGGCCAAGTAACATGTGTACCATCTGAAAGTAGTATCTCCCAGATAGGTCAGTTTCCCCAGAGAAGCATCCCCCAGTTTCTCACTTGGAAGATGTAGCCCTGCCTGCCAGCATTCTGGGAGCCCCTAGGGAAATGGCCTGAGGTCTCCCTGTTCAGTCCACTGACTTCCCCTTAATCTCCTGGTCCAGCACCAATCCCTGGACACAACTGAGCAAATCATACAAGAAATAAACTCCTTGCCTTTTTTCTCCTTATTCTCTTGAATGAGCTACCTGCAAAGGAATCTTACTTTTCTATACAGCAATTTCCAAACCATCCCGTTTTCAGGCACAGTCTACAACCATGCCTCCAGGGATTCATATTGCTTTCAAGTCTTGACATCCTGAAGTTCTGCAGTGCAAGGTGGTTGACCTCTTGCCGTTTTCCCCCACAACAGATATCTGGGTTTCTACCCAGTCTCTGCTGTGCTAAATCAGTTACCACCTATTCATTTGCTTTCCAGCCTGCAAACATTGTGTTGAGTTCCCCCATTTGCCACAGAACCCTCTCCTGTTCTCTTTGTCCTTATTCATTGGTGTGTTTCAAATTCTTTCAGTGATTGCTTTAGTGGGATATGAGGAGGAAACCATAATGCATGTGAGAACTCTTTGACCATGTTTATAAGAAGTCATATGCTTTATGATTGCTTAGTAGTTATTTTAGAGTCCTGGTGTGTTAAATAATGGCCCAGAACCTCACTTGACCCCAAAATAAATAGAAGCCAATTAGGTTGGGCCATAGATATTCTGTAGTGTTTTATAAAATCATAGCCTAAATGTATTGAACATATTAGTCTTATAACTAAGAAGGAAAAAAGGAAGGAAAGAAACAGGAAGGAAGAGAGAGGTGGGGGAAGGAGATAAAAAAGAATGGAAAGTTATTCCCTAAATTTTTTTAATCATACATGATAGCAAACTTTACACTTTATGTAATTTTTCTTTACTAATACTTTTCAGGCTTCAATATAAAACAATGCTATTCTCATACAATAACTCTCTCAGGGTTTGCCTTCCAGAACCAATCAGGAAGCAAAAACTATGACTCCACCATCAACAGTGTAGTTTGTTTTAAACCCAAAAGCTGTCTTAATAAAAATTGCATCCCAGAGGAGCATTTGTGGATTTTTAATATCCTGTTTATCCTCTCTAGACTTGGAATCTGATGTCAACATTGGCCTGGGATCTTCTGTGGCAGATTTTAAAATTTTTTGGAGGGAAAATAAGAAGAAGAAACAGGGACTTTTTTTTTATTTTGGCTTAAAATGAAAGATTCAAAGCTGATATTCACTGGCTTTGAATGAAGCCTCTGGTAAGCATAGTGGTGTTTGCAGCCCTCCTACAACCTTTGCAAAGTCCCCCACCTTGAGTCCTGAGCTCTGGCTGAGATTATTCCGGGGAGATGATGGCTATGGAAAATGTGACAGAGAACTCTGCTCCAGCCTGCACGCTCCCTGTGTGGGACTGTGTTGGGTCGATGTGGCTGCTGCTTGGAACCGTGGACTGCGGACAGACACAGCCATATCTGTGACCAATGTGCGGATGATCTGGTCCTGGATGCAGAGGTGCTGACAGATGGAGAATCCCTGAGCCACGATACTTCTCTGTGAACCAGGAAACTGCTCATGGGTCCAAAGGAAAAACACTAAGAGAATGTCTGCCAGTTCAAGGAACTAAACTCTCAGAGGAGCAGAATGGAAGCATGAAACACAGAAGACCCTGTGATGCAGGTAATACAGAACCCACACACCATTCAATGGCAATTTGAAAAATATATATATATATATATACGTATATATGTATGTGTTTCTGTTTCTGACTTTTACTGTGTGTGTTGAAATGATGTAAGAGCCTAGTATCTATTTTATGGTCCCAATCTGACTTAATGTCTAGACTATTTGACCTCCAGCAGATCTAAAAAACGTGCAGAAGTAGTTGTCCAGGGCTTGATTTCGGAGCTCCATATTCAAACAACTCAAAGATCAAAAAATTAACTAGAGTTCAACTATGTGACTTCAAATGTTTCTAGCAAATATCTGTGTTTATTTCATAACAATAATGGAATTTTTTTTTTTTTTTTTGAGATGGAGTTTCACTCTTGTTACCCAGGCTGGAGTGCAATGGCGCCATCTCGGCTCACTGCAACCTCCGCCTCCTGGGTGTAAGCAATTCTCCTGCCTCAGCCTCCTGAGTAGCTGGGATTACAGGCGTGCGCCACCATGCCCAGCTAATTTTTGTATTTTTAGTAGAGACGGGGTTTCACCTTGTTGACCAGGATGGTCTCGCTCTCTTAACCTCGTGATCCACCTGCCTCGGCCTCCCAAAGTGCTGGAATTATAGGTGTGAGCCACCACACCCAGCCAATAATAGAATTTTTACATGGTGATACCTAGATGAAATTAAAAATAATAAGAAGCAATGAAGGGTAAATGCCTTTATATGTATGAATTATATCTTTGCTGAACACAACGTATTTAAAAATAGGATTGAATGAATTAATTGGATACAATTTGCTTTGGTGTGAGAGTTAAAATTTGTAGCCTCTGAAAGAACCACATGAAAATAGATTGTAAACCTATATTACTTGATCAGTAAGTAGAAAAGACTTGCTATGCCAACAGAAAATCATCTGCATTTATTTTGGTGTGGTAAAGAACCACAACAAGACAAAATGAAGTTCTCATAAAGCTACAATGTCATTGATAGGAGCAAGAAGCCAATGTGGACATAAAACTGCTATTCTCATTGGGAAAGATGAAGAAAAATAAAGCCATCACAACAGCTTTCACAAAGATAGTTTTACAGCTCCGTATTAACATAAATCATTCTTCAAAAACAAGTTGCTCCAATTCCTTACAGATTTTCCAGTGTCCTAATGCATGGTCTCTGGAGTTCTAAATTGCTTATTAAACACTTCAAAACTTACTTCTGAAAATAGCAATTAATGAAACAGAGTAAATGCAACAGTTATTTCAGCACCTAGAATCTATCACATGCACACACTCTAGACACGTGTATTTCAGAATTTGATGACTGCATTTAGTTTTCAGAAGTCCATTTATATAATTTTCCCGATTATATTTGTTTCTGACAAATAAAAATTTAAGATCCCAAGAGGCAGATTCCAGAATAAGCAAGTGTTAGCTAGTAATGTCCCCTGCTACTACAATGTCAGCTCGTTCCAACACAGTGTTAGAATTACAAACACCATCGCACGCGGTGTGCAGAGCATCGCAGTGCTGGGTGTGCTGACATCCAAGATTCCAAGAATTACACAGTTTAGCAAAGAGAATGTTTTTGCCTAAGATCCAGGTGTTCAAAATAATTTCTCCAATGCACTCTAGCCTATTATTATGGATGTATTCTGTTGGAAATGAGAAACAAGAGTCATTTTCTCCAGAATAACAGAACCATAGTGACACTGGAAGTAAGTCCAGTGATCCTGATGTCACTATTTTTTTTTTTTGAGAGAGTCTCACTCTGTCACCCAGGCCAGAGTGCAGTGACATGATCTCAGCTCATGGGTTCAAGCTGCCTCAGCCTCCCAGGTAGCTGGAATTACAGGTGCCTGCCACCATGCCTGGCTAATTTTTTGTATTTTTAGTAGTGACAGGGTTTCACCGTGTTAGGCAGGATGGTCTCGATCTCGCGACCTCATGATCAGCCCGCCTCAACCTCTCAAAGTGCTGGGATTACAAGCGTGAGCCACCACACCCAGCCGATGATGATGATGATGATGATGATAAGACAAGATCTCACTCTGTCGCCCAGGCTGGACTGCAGTAGTGGATCAGCACTCACTGCAGCCTCAACCTCTTGGGCTCAAGCGATCCTCCTGCCTCAGCCTCCTGAGTAGTTGAGAATATAGCATGCACCACCATGCTCAACTAAATATTTTTGTATTTTTTGTAGAGATGGGGTTTCCCCATGTTGCCCAAGCTGGTCTTGAACCCTGGGCTCAAGTGATCCACCCACCTTGGCCTCCCAAAGTGCTAGAATTACAGGTGAGCCACTGTGCCCAGCCTATCATCATTATTAATGATTATTTAAAAGACTAAGTTTTCCTTTCAGGGTCCACTTTTTCTTTGTATTTTAAACTGAGGATAGCTTTTCTAGGATCTTTGCCTAAGTCATCAGAGCTAGTTTTCAGAATCTCCTACATCATTTCTAATCATTTATTCACAACTTCACAGTGTAATTTGCGAGTTTCCTGGGCTGAGAATATGGCTCTAAAGGACTGATGATATCAATTATTCGGGAGTACAGGATGTTACCGTTGTTGATTTGGTTATTCCCTTCACTCTGTAATTTCCACATGGATATTAATAGCACTATTTGAAGTAGAGGAAACATGAATTCAGTGAGTACCATTCCTTCAGAATTATGTGACAAGCCTTTTAAAAAATCACCTTTACAAAAAAAGAGTTAACTGTTACCCTCTTAATTTATGTTAATAACTTCCTATAATGGTCTGAATTCACATGCTTTGCAAAATGATCAATTGACCAAAACAATTACGATTTTCCTGCATTCATATGAAATAATTTATTTTAACACACTGTTTTGCGTGTGTGTGTATGTGTATATACACACTAAGCAACAAGCTAAAATTCTTTTTTTTTTTTTTTGAGACAAAGTCTCGCTCTGTCACCCAGGCTGGAGCACAGTGGCATAATCTCAGCTCAATGCAACCTCCGCTTCCTGGGTTCAAGTGATTCTCCTGCCTCAGCTTCCTGAGTAGCTGGAGGTTAGGTGTGTGCCACCATGCCCAGCTAATTTTTTGTATTTTTAGTAGAGACAGGGTTTCACCATGTTGGTTAGGCTGGTCTCAAACTCCTGACATCGTGATCCACCAATCTTGGCCTTCCAAAGTGCTGGGGTTACAGGCCTGAGCCACTGCGTCCAGTCCTAAAAGTCTTTAAAATATTTTCAGGGCTGCACTTTACTTAAATATGATTCAATGTTCATGAGCTAAATAATACAAACCTAACATGGTTTAATGATCCATTAGGTACAATTTTCTTTGGGGTTTTGGCAGATAACACAATGGATTAATTTGAGCTTTGGTCATGCTGTGGGTCTGGAAAGTCTGGGAGACCTTTTGTGGACAAGATGGGTAGATTAACCATGAGTGATTTTAGCACAGGTTAAAATCTGTAAGATACGAGAAAATTAAAGGGCCAGCCTTCCTGATTTACATATGACATTAGCAGGAACAGTAGAGTCAGTATCAGAGTTTCCTTGAGCCAAGAATTTGTAATTGATGTGTGGGCAATTCAGGATAAAATCAAACAGATTTGATTCACTTAAGCACAAGAAAAAGCTATTATTGTTAGCAATCAAAAAATGCCCACAAAAGAGAAGGGGAAAAGCTATTTCCAAATATTGGGAGCTTTTAGCGTCAGCTAGGACAAAAATTTGCTGGCTAGAAGAGCTAAGCCGTTGTCTATTCTTTATGAGTTTCTTGATATAAAATGCACTCTCTAATGTTGACAAGCAACAATTTTACACCAGTCCACTTTTTGTTTTATTTCTTATCCTATTTATTTTTTATCTGATGTGGACAACTTAATATGGCCAAGGGTCATATGCAGTTTTGCCCTTGAAAGGGGAATTTATTGGCCGGGTGTGGTGGCTCATGCCTGTAATCCCAGCACTTTGGAAGGCCAAGCCAGGTGGATCACGAGGGCAGAAGTTCAAGACCAGTCTGGCCAACATGGTGAAACCCCGTCTCTGCTAAAAATACAAAAAATTAGCTGGGTGTGGTGGCACACACCTGTGATCCCAGCCACTTGGGAGGCTGAGGAAAGAGAATGGCTTGAACCTGGGAGGCAGAGGTTGCAGTGAGCTGAGATCCCGCCATTACACTCCAGCCTGGGTGACAGGGTGAGACTCCATCTCAAAAAAAAAAGTGTGGGGTGGGGGAGTTTATGTGATTTTTGTTTTTTTTGTGTAGTACCCTTGGCATTGACATTTCTGCCTTCTCAGGACAAAAAGAAAAGTTACTTTAATGTTAAATTGACTGATGACACATTCTGATTTCTTGAAATGACTACTAATGAAAAAAATAATATTAAGAAATAGAAGCCATGGTATATAAAATTTATAAAATATATCTACCTTTATAGGACCTCATCAGTCATGAAATTATTCAGCATTAGTATCAGTGGTTATATAGACGACAACAAATAACTAGTTTAAAAAGTGGGCAAGACAATTCATGTAGCTGGATTAAAGATGTCTTGATTATTTTACCCTGGGTCATAATGATGGCAGCAGTGGCCCATCTAGAGTGGCAGCTGACATGCTGCCAGTTGCAGTAGGAGAGGTGCAGCCGAGGCTGCAAACTCCGCGGAGCCAGTGGGGCCTGAAGCAGGCAGGAGCCCCACCTTTCCAGGCACAACTGCAGCCACTCAAGCTGTGGCTGTGGACTGGGCATCTCTGCACTCTCAGGGGCCCAGGAAGGCCCTCCTCCCATAGGCTCTGCTGTGTCTGCTCTTGCTACCAGGTCTCTGCACACTCCCAGTGCCCACTCCAATCTTGGAGCAAGGTTGGGGCTGAGCCCACATGCTGTCACGGCCCAGCTGGGTATGTGCACACTTGGGGCAGCACTGACACACCAGCCCCCTGCTGCTTTGGTCCCCTCTGGACTTCGGGCACTGAGGAGCACAGGCTCCAAAGTTACAAAATACTGCTTCTCCAGGTCTGTCCCACCTTTTCTGCAGAAGTCTGAGTACCCCTCAGATACCTCCTAGATAGATCCAGGTGTCTCAAAATGTCATCTGTGCACTCCTGCGCACATGCACACACACACATGCATGCAAGAGCACCCCCAGAGTCTGGGCCCCCAGTGGTGGCTGCCACTGGCCCCTGCAGTCAGGGCTACTATTTTTCGGCAGCAGGCCAGGCTGCTGTTGGTCCCAGGCCCTGAGGCATGGCCTCCTGTCTGACACTGTGGCTGCAGATGCCCTGGGCTGCTTTAATTTATTATTATTTTCATTCTCTGGATGCTGGAGTCCATGGTGCCTTGTAGGGGGACAATCAGAATGACAGTCACAGTGTTCCACTCAGGATTGTCCCCTGGACCTTTCAACCAAGCAGGAGCCTTAACTCTGCACCCTTGGGAGAAGGGGCTCTTTCCTGGAGGCTCCCTGGTCCTGAGGGGGCCTGCTTCCCACTCCCAACCCAGTCCTCCAGGCAGGCCTGTCTCCTGGGGCCTCTGCCATGGGCTTTTTCCCATAAACATATACAGTCCTCAGAAAAGTGCTTGGGGTAGTGCTTGGCACTTAGTAAACACTGCGTAAGAATGCTTATTGGCCAGAAGCCATGGCTGTGCCTGTCATCCCAACACTTTGGGAGGCCAAGGTGGGAGGATTGCCTGAGCCCAGTAATTCAAGACCAGCTGGGGTAACACAGCGAGATCACATTTCTACAAAAATTAGCTAGGCAGCATGGCACGTGCCTGTAGTCCCAGCTCCTCAGTAGGCTGAGGTGGAAGAATCGCTTGGGCCTTAAGATTTGAGGTTACAGTGAGCAACACTGCACTCCAGTCTGGGCGACAGAATGAGATGCTGTCTCTTTAAAAAAAAAAAAAAAAAAAGGCCAGGTGCAGTGGCTCACACCTGCAATCCCAGCACTTTGGGAGGCCAAGGCGGGCAGATCAACTGAGGTCAGAAGTTTGAGAGCAGCCTAGCTAACATGGTAAAATCCCATGTTAAATTTTTAGTATAAAATGGTACATGGTAAAAATTTTAATACAAAAACTTTTTGTATTTTTGTACTAAAAATACAAAAAATTAGCTAGGCATGGTGGTGCATGCATGTAATCCAGCTACTTGGGAGGCTGAGGCAGGAGAATCACTTGAACCCGTAAGGCGAAGATTGCAGTGAGCCGAGATTGTTGTGCCATTGCACTCCAGCCTGGCCAACAAGAGGGAAACTCTGTCTCAAAAAAACAAAAAGTGCTTACTAACAATCCCAGCCAGACACGGTGGCTCACACCTGTCATCCCAGCACTTTGGTAGGCCAGACGGGCAGATCACCTGAGGTCAGGAATTTGAGACCAGCTGACTAACATGGTGAAACCCTGTGTCTACTAAAACTACAAAAATTAGCTGCGTGTTGGGCAGGCTCCTGTAATTCCAGCGATTTGGGAGGCTGAGGCAGAAGAATCACTTGAACCCTGAAGGCGGAGGTTGCAATGAGCCAAGACTGTGCTTCTGCGCTCTAGCCTTGGCAACAGAGCAAGACTAGGTCTCAAAACAAAACAAAAACAAACAAAAATCTCCTTTATGTTTCTGTCTAGTATAATTTCTATAGCACAGGGATTAAGAAAACAAGTCCTGACCAGGTGAGTGGCTCACACCTGTAATCAAGCACTGTGGGAAGCCGGGGCGGGCAGATGCCCTGAAGTCAGGAGTTCAAGACCAGCCTGGGCAAAATGGTGAAACCCTATCTCTACCAAAAATACAAAAATTAGCTGGGCATGGTGGTGGGAGCCTGTAATCCCAGCTATGTAGGAGGCTGAGGCAGGACAATTGCTGGAACCTGGGAAGCAGAGGTTGCAGTGAGCTGAGATCGTGCCACTGCACTATAGCCTAGGTGACAGAGTGAGACTCTGTCTCAAAAAAAAAAAAAAAAAGAAAGAAATTGACACTTTTTATTATGAAGCTTGAAACTTACATTTATTTTACCTGGGTTCGTTCCTCAGGAAAGTCCCCCAAGCCTCTCAGAGATTGTCAAAGAACTGAAGCTCATCAGATCATGACATCCTCATAATGAGACTCCAGACCCCTCATTCATCATGATTGCTTCCTTACCCCTCCTGAGTTTCTGTTTTCCCACACATAGTTGCATTTCTTCCCTGCTGTAAAGGCCCTAATTTTAGTAGTCAGGGAGATGGATTTGAGACTGACCTCCTCTCTCCTCAGCGGCAGCACCCAATTAAAGCCTTCTTCCTTGGCAATAATCATTGTCTCAATGATTGGCTCTTGAGGCCAGCAGCTGGACCTAGGCTGAACCCTGGTGTTTTGGTAACACTAAAAGAATGAAATGTGATCCTAAACATGCAGTGGTTCTAAAACATGTCTGCAGATTTTTAGACACCCCTCATAGGGTGCAGTCTAATTCCTCCCCACCTTGAACATGGTCTGGCCTTCATGATTCACTTCCTTTTATTTTGAGACAGGATCTCACTCTGCTGCCCAGGCTGGAGTGCAGTGGCGCAATCATGGCTCACTGCAGCCTCAACCACCTGGGATCTGGTGGTCCTCCCACCTTAGCCTCCTGAGTAGCTGGGACCATAGGTGCTCACCACCACACCCAGCTGAAAGTTTTATTTTGTTTTGCTTGAGACGAAGTTTTGCTCTTGATAAATTGGCAGCTGGTGCCAGGAAGAAGCATTGCCTGATGGTCCACACCTGTTGCATTAAAGTGTGAATTGAATGCAGGCACTAGGGAGAAGCAAAAAGGGGCTTCCAATAAAATGTCAGGTATTGGACAAGTAAGCCCAGCTATGTGCATTAAAAGACAAAATGGGCCAGGCGTGGTGGCTCATGCCCGTAATCCCAACACTTTGGGAGGCCAAGGTGGGTAGATCATGAGGTCAGGAGTTGAAGACCAGCCTGGCCAACACGGTGAAACCCCATCTCTAAATACAAAAATTAGCTGGTTGTGGTGGCATGTGCCTGTAATCCCAACTACTCAGGAGGCTGAGGCAGGAGAACCACTTGAACCCGGGAGGCGGAGGTTGCAGTGAGCTGAGATTGCACCACTGCACTCCAGCCTGGGTGACAGAGCAAGACTTCATCTCCAAAAAAAAAAAAGACAAAATGGTGGAGTATGACATTCTGGGGGCACACCACCAGAAAAGGGAAGATAGTCTCAGATGGGCATGCACACAAGTTTCTAAACACATGGTAGGTGCTCCCCTGCCCAGTGCAGCAGCCCACCCTAAGGAAGGAATCATGGGAAAGAGTCCAGCCTATAAAGTCCTAGGATCAGGGCTAAATACCACACTTGACCTCGGTGCCCTCTTGGGTCTCTTCCAATTGTACTTCCCTTTCTTTTCTTCTTTTCTTTTCTTTTTGAGACGAAGCTTCACTCTTGTTGCCCAGGCTGACGTGCAATAAGCCTTAGCTCACTGCAACCTCTGCCTCCCAGGTTCAAGTGATTTTTCTGCCTCAGCCTCCTGAGTAGCTGGGATTACAGGTGAGCGCCACCACACCTGGTTACTTTTGTGTTTTTAGTTCAGAGTTTTTTTCCATGTTGGTCAGGCTGGTCTCGAACTCCCAACCTCAGGGGTTCCTCCAACCTTGACCTCCCGAAGTGCTGGGATTATAGGCATGAGTCACTGCGCCCGGCTCCTTTCCTTTCTTTCTTATTCTTGTTCTTTTTTATATTTTTATTTTTGGAGACAGGGTTTCACTCTGGTTGCCCAGGCTGAAGTGCAATTGGCACAATCTTGGCTCACTGCAACCTCCACCTCCTGGGTTCAAGTGATTCTCCTGCCTCAGTCTCCTGAGTAGCTGAGATTACAGGTGCATGACACCATGCCTGGCTAATTTTATTTATTTATTTATTTATTTAGAGATGGAGTCTGGCTCTGTCACCCAGGCTGGAGTTCAGTGCCATGATCTCGGCTCACTGCAACCTCTGCCTCCAAGGTTGAAATGATTCTCCTGCCTCAGCATCCTGAGTAGCAGGGATTACAGGTGTGTGTCACCACACTGGCTAATTTTTGTATTTTTAGTAGAGACAGGGTTGCTCCATTTTGGTCAGGCTGGTCTCGAACTCCTGACCTCATGATCCACCCAACTTGGCCTCCCAAAGTGCTGGGATTAAAGGTGTGAGCCACCATGCCTGGCCAGATGTTTTGCTTGTTTTTGGGTTTTTTTGAGTTGGAGTCTTGCTCTGTTGCCCAGGCTGGAGAGCAGTGGTGCAATCTCGGCTCATTGCTACTTCTGTCTGCCAGATTCAAGCGATTCTCCTACCTCAGCATCTGAGTAGCTGAGATTACAGGCGTCTGCCACCATGATTGGCTAATTTTTGTATTTTTAGTAGATATGGGGTTTCACCATGTTGGTCAGACTTGTCTTGCACTCTGATCTCAAATGATCCACCCACCTAGGCCTCCCAAAGTGCTGGGATTATAGGCGTGAGCCACCCCGGCTGGCCAGTGTTGCCTGGTTCTTCACTGTACACGTGGTGAAAAAGAAAAGGGAAGATGGAGCCCCGTGTTGCACACACCTGGCTTCCAGTTTGCCTTTCCTATTGGCACAGCTGCTGGCATTCACTCGTGAAGCTAACAGTTTGATTATTTATGTCTACAGCTCAGTTTTTCAGGCTGCTCTTTGTTAAAAAAGAAATGATTTGGGCTGCTTTTTGTTAAAAGGGAGGCTTGCCAAGGACTCCTTTACCTTTAAGCACTATCTGCTTAAGTAATTTCTTTTTTTTTTTTGAGACAGTTTAACTGTCTACCCAGGCTGGAGTGCAGTGGTGCCATCTTGGCTCACTGCAACCTCCACACACCAGGTTCAAGCGATTCTCCCACTTCAGGAGTTTCACCATGTTGGCCAGGCTGGTCTCCAACTCCTGATCTCAAGTGATCCACTCACCTGGGCTTCTCAAAATGCTGGGATTACAGGCCATGAGCCACCATGCCTGGCCTCTTTACTGGAAGTTTTCATAAGAAATTTTGAGTTTGACAATTAAAAATCTCTTGAGGATAGGATGTCAAGCCAATAACTTGCCGCCAGACTTTGCCTTCTATAGTGACGAATTTAGATAAATTCCTCTCATCTCAAGGTGCCCAAATATCCCAAGCTTCCTGGGACTTCCAGGAAGTGGTCCTCCTCACTCACATGTAAGGCTAGGAAACCTGCAAGCTGGGTACCAGCGCAATTGTTCCCAGAAGGCTTTGTAAGCAGTGGCTCCATAAAGTCTACCTTAGTTCCTTAAATCAGATTTTATGAGGCTGGGTGCGGTGGCTCATGTTGGGAGACTGAGATGGGTGGATCAACTAAGGTCAGGAGTTTGAGATCTGCCTGACCAACATAGTGAAACCCCGTCTCTACTAAAAATACAAAAATTAGCCAGGGATGGTGGCTCATGCTTTTAATCCCAGCTACTCTGGAATCTCAGGCACAAAAATCACTGGGAGGCAGAGGTTGTAGTGAACTGAGAGTGTGCCACTGCACTCCAGCGTGGGCAACAAGTGAGACTCTGTCTTAAAAAAAAAAGATTTAATGCACAATGTTTCTGAATTTTGGAGGGATCAGCTAGGAAAATAGATAAACGTTTCATTTATCTTTTCACAAGCATAATCTACTAAACTGTTGTGAGTGTAGATTATAGTAATAACAGAAAGGAGTTCCTTTTTTTTTTGAGATGGAGCCTTGCTCTGTCATCTAGACCAGAGTGTAATGGTAATCTTGCCTCACTGAAACCTCCATCTCCTGGGTTCAAGTTATTCTCCTGCCTCAGCCTCCAGAGTATCCTGGACTACAGGTGTGCACTGCCACACCCGGCAAATTTTTGTATTTTTAGTAGAGACAGGGTTTCATCATGTTGGCCAGGCTGGTCTCGAACTCCTGACCTCAGGTAATCCACCAGCCTTGGCCTCTCACAGTGCTGGGATTATAGGCATGAGCCACTACATCCAGCCAAGGAGTGTCTTATATTAAGAAAATAAAATAGTAAAGAAACGGCAATATTCCAAAACAATAACCACAATTATCCTTTATTAGTTCATTCAGTCCCATGTAAATGATTCTTGATCTGCTTGATCTACTTGATCTTGATCTGCTTGATCTTCGAGATCAAGAAGAAATGTCAGCTTCTCCACTAGAGTACTGGGAATTCTTACTCAGTCCATTGATAGGATCTCAAAGTTAAAACTATGTTGTCATGAAGCATTTTGTAGCAAGGACTACAGGCTTATGCCACCCCACCCAGCTAATTTTATTTTCTTTATTATTATTTTTTGAGACAGGGTCTCCCTGTCAGGCTGGAGTGCGGTGGTGTGATCTTGGCTCACTGCAACCTCTGCCTCCCAGGCTCAAGTGATCCTCCCATTTCAGCCTCCTAAGTAGCCGGGATTACAAGTGTGCATGACCACACCTGGCTAATTTTTAAATATTTTGTAGAGACAGGATCTCACTGTGTTGCCCAGGCTTGTCTCAAACTCCTGAATTCAAACAATCCACCCACCTCAGTCTCCCAAAGGGCTGGGATTACAGGCATGAGCCACTGGACCAGCCTCTAAAACATTTTATATCCATACAGGTACCTTTCCTTCTACAGCTTCCACTTTCTCATCCTGGAGCAATTCATATTCTGCTTTGGGACAAAATGGTTCTTTTTCAATAATGAAAACATGCCCTTTGTACCTCACACCTTTCCTTATAAAAAAACACCCTCTGTTTTCCTTGCATACTTTTCATAGAGTCATTTTCTTTCACCCGTATTATATTTAGTAGGTCAGTTATGTATATTGATTAGAATTCCCAACTTTAGTTTCCAGGGAAAATGAGTCTGTAGGCAACTGTGGACTACTTGCCACTTAATAGCGCCTCTAGTAGATTGGCATACTTATGAATACACCATTTTCTAATTTTTTTTTCTGAGATAAGGTCTCACTCTGTCAGCCAGGCTGGAGTACAGTGACGTGATCATAATTCTCACTGAGGCCTCAAACTCTGGGCTCAACAGATCCTCCTGCCTCATCCTCCAGAGTAGCCAAGACTACAGGATCATGGCAGCATACCCTCCATTGCCAGGCTGGAGTGCAGTGGTACAATCTCGGCTCACTGCAGCCTCCGTCTCCCAGGTTCAAGTGATTCTCCTGCCTCAGCCTCCTGAGTAGCTGGCATTACAGGCACACACCACTATGCCCAGCTCATTTTTGTATTTTTAGTAGAGATAGGATTTTGCCATGTAGGCCAGGATGGTCTCGATCTCTTGACCTCATCATGATCTGCCTGCCTCAGTCTTCCAAAGTGCTGGGATTACAGGCTGAGCCACCATGCTCAGTCTAATTTTTGTATTTTTAGTAGAGATAGGGTTTCACCATGTTGACCTGGCTCGTCTTGAACTCCTGACCTCAGGTGATCCACCTGCCTCAGCCTACTAGAGCGCTGGGATTACAGGTGTGAGCCACCTCACTCGGCCTCATTTTCTTTTACTTGATTTTATTGTGCTTCACAGATACTGCATTTCTTAACATATTTTTGTTTTGTTTCATTTAAAAATGTAAATAATACTTAAACAATTGAGATGGGGTCTCACTCTGTTGACCAGGCTGGTCTCCAACTCCTGGACTCAAGCAATCCTCCCATCTCAGCCTCCCAAAGTGCTGGAATCACAGGCATGAGTCACCATGGCTGGCCCATTTCTTAACATATTAGAAGACTGTGGCAACCCTGTGTTGAGCCAGTGTATTGGTGCCATTTTTCCAACAGCATGTGCTCACTTGGTGTCTCTGTGTCACATCTTGGTAAGTCTTATAGTATTTTAAACTTTATTATTTTTTGGGATGGAGTCTTACTCCATTGCCCAGGCTCGAGTGCAGTGGCTTGACCATAGCTCACTGCAGCCTCGACCTCCCGGGCTCAAGTGATCCTCCTGCCTCAGCCTTCTGAGTAGCTGGGATGACTGGCTTGTGTCACCATTCCTGGCTAATCTTTAATTTTTTTTTTTTTTTAGAAATGGGGTCTTACTGTGTTGCCCAGGCTGGTCTCAGACTCCTGGGTTTTGAGCAATCCTCCTCTTCCTCCTCTTTCTCCTCTGGCAATCATCCTCCTCCTCCTCTTCCATTGCTGGGATCACAGCAACCACCTCGTCTGGCTGTTCCTCCTCCTTGGATTACAGGCCTGAGCCACAGTGCCCAGCTATTCTTCCTCCTCCTCCTCCAATTACAGGTGTCAGCCACCCCACCTGGCTGTTCCTCCTCCTCCTCCTTCTCTGATTACAACTATGGGCCCAGGACCTGCCCATCTGCCAGAATGTTCCTGCCTTGGGCAGATGAGCTGTCTCACTCTCAGCTTGGACCATCTTCTCATAATTATTGATAGTATTAGGTATGCTATTAATGCTTACTGGCCTGTATGTTTTACTGGCCTTTATGTTTTCAGAGTCCTTATTTTTAGCAGGCATTGGAAGTTCCTGGAGGATTTGTTTCTTTTTTAGGAGACAGGGTCTTGCTCTGTTGCCCAGGCTGGAGTACAGGGGCCATCATAGCTCACTGTAGCCTGGACCTACCTGGCTCAAGTGATCTTCCAGCCTCAGCCTTCCAAGTAGCTGGGACTACAGGCCCGCACGCTACCATGCCCTACTAATTTGTTGTTGTTGTATTGGGCTTTTCGTGTGTTTTGAGATGGAGTCTCACTCTGTTGCCCAAGCTGGAGTGCAGTGATGTGATCTTCGCTCACTGCAACTTCCGCCTCCCGGATTCAAGCAATTCTCCTACCTCAGCCTCCTGAGTAGCTGGGACTACAGGCTCATGCCACCATGCCAGCTAATTTTTATATTTTTAGTAGAGACAGGGTTTTGCCACGTTGGCCAGGCTGGTCTTGAACCCCTGACCTCAAGTGATCTGCCCACCTTAGCCTCCCAAAGTGATGGGATTACAAAAACCCACTGATTTCAAGAAACATCCTGAGTTATTTAGGAATGAAATGATGTGATGATGGGAACTTGCTTTGAAATAATAAGGGGATGAAGGAGTCCCCTGGTTCCAGCTGTGGGTAAAGACAGCTGGAGCCAGAATGTCTGCGTTGATTATTGTTGAAGCTGGGTGTGGGTACATAGGGTTCATTATGCATTCTCTAGCTGTTATATTCAGAAATTTCCCATAATAATTGATTTTAAAAGAAGTCAGCCAGGCAAAGTAGCTCATGCCTGTAATTCCCTCACTTTGGGAGATGAAGGTGGAAGGACGGCTTGGTGGAAGGATGGCTTGGGGCCAGGAGTTTGTGACCAGCTTAGGCAACATAGGGAGACCTTGTCTCTACAAAAATAAAACAATTAGCCAGGTGTGGTGGTGCATGCCTGTAGGCCAAGCTACTCTGGAGACTGAAGTGGGAGGATCACTTGAGCCCAGGAGTTCAAGGCTACAGTGAGCTACGACCATACCACTGCACTCCAGCCTGGTGACAGTGAGAGACCTTGTCTCTAAAAAATAATTTTTTTAGATATTTAATTTATTTACCTAGTTGAAGAGGGAGTTTCACTGTCATCCAGGCTGGAGTGCAGTGGCATGATCTTGGCTCACTGCAACCTCCATCTCCCAGGTTCAAGCAATTCTCTTGCCTCAGCCTCCTGAGTAGCTGGGATTACAGGTGTGGGCCACCATGCTCGGCTAATTCTTGTATTTTTAGTAGAGATATGGTTACACCACGTTGGCCAGGCTGGTCTCAAATCCCTGACTTCAAGTGCTCAACCTGCTTCGGCCTCCCAAAGCGTGGGATTCCAGGCATGAGCCACCACGCTGGACTTTTATATAAATTTTCTTTTTTTAAAAGGATTCTGGTCATGCCTGTTGATAAGCCCCAGGCCCCTTGAGTCTTATCTACTTCTATTGTGTGGCAGCAGTTTCTGTCCCTTTCCTGTTCCCCAGGAGCAGGAGAGAGCACACCTCTCCTTCCCTGCCCCAGGTCTTCCAGCCCCACCTTGCCTCCTCCAAAGGCCACCCTCCTGGCATGCCCACTCCAGTGCCTGGGACATAGGGGAGGAGAGGCAGGTGGGTGGTGTCTTGCCTGCAGCGTAGAGATGATGCCAGTGGCCACCTGGAACATGGCACTCGTGGTGTCTGACACGTCAAACACAGCTTCCTTGTCCTGGGAGGCACATGGCAGCAGGTGAGGGCCTAGCAGCTCCTTGGCACCCAGGGTCCCCACAGCCCCACCCACAATGAGGCATCCTCACTGCCTTCCATGGGAAGAACACTTAGTACCTCAACAAAGGAAGGGCAGAAAGCTCCAAGGGCAGCCACGGATGGCGCTGTGTGCACAGGATGGGAGGATGTATGGCAATCCTGGGGGACCCTGCCTGGGTGTGCCAGAGCCCCGAGAACTGGCATGTGGTATGTAGGCAGTGGGCCTCCATCGGCCACCGCCCCCAGCTTCGCACCTTAAGTCTTTGTTGTAGGTGCTGGAAGTTTCTTGAGGGTCATCAGGAGCCCAGCACACTGTGGGAAGAGGGAGACACAGGGGCTGGACGTGGGATCTTGTGCCCTGGCCACCACCCCCCATCAGCACAGAGGGCCTGCCCCTCTCCCTGCCCTGCTCACCTGCCCAAACACATGCCCCGCCTTGCTCTGGATCAGCTCCAAGCTGTCAGGGTTTTTCTTCTGGGGCATCAGGCTGCTGCAGTGCTGGGGAAAGAGGTGCAGGCAATGAAGGGGCTGGACCCTTGGCTGGTCCAGCAGTGCACTGGCCAGGTCTGGCAGAGGGGTGGGGAGGAGAGGAAGGAAGCCATGCCTGTGGTGGGTGGGGAATACAGAGGCCAGGAGGGGCAGGTAGAAGCGGCAGCTGGGGGCTTACCTGTAGCATCTGAGAGCTGCACGATGCTGCATTCCTTGGTGCCATAGATGATGAGGTGCTTGGCCATCCTGCTGAGATGGGTCATGCACAGAGAAGCCCAGAACAGGAACTCGGCTGGGAGGGAGAAAAGGTTCCCAGTCACCAGGCCTTTCCCATCCCCACCCAGCCTGAGCATACAGGGGTGGGAGGAGGTCTGAAACCTTTTCTCCCTCCCAGCCAAGCTCTTGTTCTGGGCTTTGCTGTGCATGACCCATCTCAGCAGGATGTCTGAGGACGTCATACCTGCAGGTAATAAAAGCTTGTTTATTTAAAAAAAAAAAAAAAAAAAAAACAGGCTAGGTGCAGTGGCTCACATTTGTAATCCCAGCACTTGGAAGGACAAGGCAGAAGATGGCTTGAGCCCAGGAGTTTCAGACCATATGCCTACAAGTAAGCTATTTCGTTTGAGGACCCCAGAAATAGCTGGGGCCATTCAACAGCTGCTCCAAGCAGGTGAGACACCGTGCCCCTCATTCAGGTAGGCAGGGCAGAGGCAAAGAGCACTGCTGTGAGTGATGCTCATGTTTTCTTGTTGTTTTGTTTTTAGAGACAGGGTCTTGCCCTGTTGCCCAGGCTGGAGTGCAGTAGCACGATCACAGCTCACTGCTGCCTCCATCTCCTGGGCTCAAGCGATCCTCCTGCCTCAGCCTCCTGAGTAGCTGGACTACAGGGTCATGCCACCATGTCTGGCTTACTTTTAATTTTTTGTAAAGATGGCGTCTTACTATGTTGCCCAGGGTGGTCTGGAACTCCTGGGTTCAAGCAATTCTCCAGCCTTGGCTTCCCAGGGGCTGGGATTACAAATGTGAGCCACCACACCTGCCTGTTTCATTGTTGTTGTTGTTTTTGAGACAGAGTTTCTCTCTTGGTGCCCAGTCTGGAGTGCAGTGGCACAATCTCGGCTCACTGCAACCTCCACCTCCTGGATTCAAGAGATTCTTTTGCCTCAGCCTCCCAAGAAGCTGAGATTATAAGCACCTGCCACCATGCCTGGCTAATTTTTTGTATTTTTAGTAGAGACAGGGTTTCACCATGTTGACCAGGCTGGCCTCAGACTCCTGACCTCAGGTGATCCACCTGCCTTGGCCTCCCAAAGTGCTGGGATGACAGGTGTCAGCCACACCAGATTTACTAAGATATCATTCACATACAATTTACTCATTTAAAGTTTACTCTTTAGTGTACAACTATCACCACAATCAATTTAAGAAGACTTTCATCATCCCATAAAGAAATTCTGTACTCGGCCGGGCACAGTGGCTCACCCCTGTAATCCCAGCACTTTGGGAGGCCAAGAGGGAAAAATCACTTGAGGCTGGGAGCTTGAAACCAGCCTAAGCCACATAGTGAGACCTTGTTTCTACAAAAAAAAATTTTAATTTGCTACTGTGGTCCTAGCTCCTCAGAAAGCTGAGGTGGGAGGATTATTTGAGTCCAGGAGTTTGAGGCTGCAGTGAGCTATTACCAAGCCACTGCACTCCAGCCTAGGTGACAGAGCAAGGTCTCATCTCTAAAGACAATTTAAAAAGTTAAAAATTTAAAAATTAGGCCGGGCGCAGTGGCTTATGCCTGTAATCCTAGCACTTTGGCTAGGATTACGAGGTGGGCGGATCACCTGAGCTCAGGAGTTCGAGACCAGCCTGGCCAACGTTGCAAAACCCATCTCTACTGAAAAAAATACAAAAATTAGTTGAATGTGGAGGCACACACCTGTAATCTCAGCTGCTTGGGAGACTGAGGCATGAGAATTGCTTGAACCCAGGAGGTTGAGTTTGCAGTTAGCCAAGATTGAGCCACTGAAATCCAGACTGGGTGACAAAGTGAGACCCTGTCTCAAAAAAAAAAAAAATAAACCCTTAACTCCTGTAATCCCAGCACTTTGGGAGGCGAAGGCAGGTGGATCACTTGAGGTCAGGAGTTCAAGACCAGCCTGGCCAACACAGTGAAATCCCATCTGTACTAAAAATACAAAAATTAGCCAGGTGTGGTGGTGCACACCTGTAGTCTCAGCTACTAGGGAGGCTGAGGCAGGAGAATTGCTTGAACCCAAAAGGCAGAGGTTGTAGTGAGCTGAGATCATACCACTGCACTGCGGACTGGGTGACAGAGTGATACTCTGTCTCAAAAAAAAAAAGAAACCCTGAACTCGGTAGCAGACCCTCCCGGTTCCTCCTAGCAGCCCCGCCCCACCTCCAGGGTGACAATGCATGTGCCCTTGTTTCCTCCCAGGTCTGTGAAACACGGGTCACAGGGAGTTGAAGAAGAGGAGGGGTCTCTCCAACACATGGAGACTCCTCAGCAGCTCCTCCTCCAAGTCTGCAAGGAACAAATCCAGACCCAAAGACACCAGGTCCCAGAAGCCAAAACCTGGGATGAGGCCAGCAGGAGGCAGCCTTTGCATCTGTCTTTTGCCAGATGGGCTGGGTGGGGACACCAGACATGGGATGGGAGACATGAGGCACAGGCAAGGTAAAAAGTGACTCTGGCTGCTCCAGTCATAGCCAAGCTACTGCCTTAGCTTCCTGCCCTCAAATATGCAAAGGGTGAGTTTTCTTTCACTTTAATTTTTTTTGAGACAGAGTCTCACTCTGATGCCCAGACTGGAGTTCATTGGGGCGATGCTGACTCACTGCAACCTCCCCCCCCCGGGTTCAACTGATTTCTCCTGCCTCAGCCTCCCAAGTAGCAGGAATTAGAGGCACATACCACCACCCCTGGCTAATTTTTGTATTTTTGGTAGAGATGGGGTTTCGCCATGTTGGCCAGGCTGGTCTCAAACTCATGACCTCAGGTGATCCGCCTGCCTCGGTCTCCCAGAGTGCTGGGATTATAGTCATGACACCACACCTGGCCCACGAAGGGTGAGTCCCTTCTGCCTGCTGGGCTAGACTGGCATGGGAGTATTGGAGCCCGCAGGAAATGCCCCACTCTTGGCTGCTCTGCCTCAATCCTGGAGTTCTGGGATACCCCTGTCCCCCAGGACCTGGTACCCCCACCCTGTTCACCCCTGCCACCTAGGTCTGCTGTTCAGGCTGCCACCACACCTCTCTCTGCCCCCTGGGTGTCCCTGGGGGACTCACGCCTCTGCCCGATCCACCATGGTCCTAATCAACTCCCAGAGGAGGCCCGAGAAGGTGGAGCAGGTCTGCTGCATCCATAGCCCAAGGTCCGTAACCACCTGTGTGAGGAGGAGGTGGTGCTCAGGGAGGTCGATATGCTGCTTCCCTGGGGAGCCAGGACCCTGCCCAGCTCTAACTGAACCTGGGCTCCCCAAGGTTGGGACAGCATGGAGCAGGGGGTGGAGGGGCGAGAGGCACCTGGTCATTCCAGCTGTACGACCCGTGTGCGGCTTCCCTGCAGTTTTGCCAATGAGCTCCTGGAGGTGAAGGGAGGTCCAGGGTCATGGTCTATGCGCCCAGAGGGGTCAACCCAAGAAGGGCAGGGTTCATTGGCCCTGCCAACCTTCCTCCCTACCCCAAGGTCCTGGGACCTGCCCAAATTTCTTGCCATTTCTGCTGAGGCCTTTTGTTCTTTTTATTTTTTTTTGGTAATTTCTTGTAGTTATGGAACCTCGTTATGTTGCCCAGGCTGGTCTCGAACTCCTGGCCTCAAGCAATCCTCCCAAAGACTAGGATTATAGGCATGAGCCACTGCGCCTGACCCATGTCCTGAGGTCTCGGCTGCTGTCTGCCAATGGCAAAGTAAACAGAATGATGTGCTAATGCTCAAAGTGGCCCAGGGCCAGGTGGAGAAGGGAGACCAGGAGAGCGGTAGCGCTGCAGGGGTCGTACCTTCAGGTGGCGCTCCTTGGCTGTGTGGATGTCCTCATCATTGGGGTTGAGTTTGAAGGTGCCCTGGGCCCACTCCTCAGCCACCTATAGCAGGTGGCAGCAATTCTGTGGGTCAGGTGAGCAGGTATCAGCAGCCAAGAGAGCCCCTGCCCTGGTCCCACCCAATCCCTGATGACTGACTGTCCCTGTGCGAGTCCTGGAAGCGCACCCTGGGAGGGGGCATCTCAGGCCCAGCACACCTTCACCCATGAGCCATGTGGGCCACAGCGGTCATTAAAGGATGGAGAGAGGCAGCCACCAAGGCACACAGTTTAACAGCACTTGAGTATGTAATTAGTTCAATGTGAAACCACAGACGGACAACACTGCATTATTTGCTCAGGAATTTGGTAGGAGTCTGGGGCCACAGGGAGAGGCCTTGGGTGGGGCTTGGGCCGAGATGAGTACCTTGTCTAGGCCATGGAGTATCTAGTCCATCTCGGCCTTGGTGAGGAGCCCTGCCTTCTCCAGGCTCCTGCTGTAGGCTTTGCTGCCTTGAATATTCACCTCCCACAGGTGCCAGTCATAGGCAATGGATGCATTGAACTTCTCCATGAGGGAGTCCACTGTGCTCACAGAATGGCTACCTCACAGCTTCCTGCTCTGGCCAGGAGAGAAGGAACAATTAGTCTCTTCTCCACCCCCAAGAACAGTGACTCTTGCAAAGAATTCTCGGGAAACTTATCAAGGCTGACGGTAGCAGGGGCATCAGATCATTCTAACTGGGCAGACAAGGAGGATGAGACCTTCCCAGGGTCACCCTGGGAGTAAGTGTGGGTACGTGACTGGACACCAAAGTTTGGGTTCTTTTTTTTTTTTTTTTTTTTTTTTTAGACAGAGAGAGTCTTGCTCTATTGGCCAGGCTGGAGTGCAGTGGCACAATCACAGCTTACTGCAACCTCCACCTCCTGGGTTCAAGAGATGCTCCTGCCTCTGCCTCCCCAGTTGCTGGGATTACAGGCGCTCACCACCACACCCAGCTAATTTTTGTATTATTAGTAGAGACAGGGTTTCACCATGTTGGCCAGCCTTGTCTTGAACTCCTGACCTCAGGTGATCCTCCCACCTCAGCCTACGAAAGTGCTGGGATTACAGGCATGAGCCACTGTGTCTGGCCTTGAAGTTAGGGTTCTTTCCCACTACATGGCACCACTCTAAAGAGATGGTGGCAGTGTCCAAGACACCCCTGGGACCACAGCAGAGCTTCTGGAACCTTTCCTGCCACTGACCAAGGTGCTGGGTGCCATTCTAATTGCTGACACAACTATCTGGGGTAGACACCAATACAGTTCCACTATGGAGAGGGAAAAACTGAGGCACAGAGAGGCATCCAGCCTGCCCTCACCCGGGGTGGAAAAACCAGGGCTGCAGTGCAGCAGTCTGAAGTCGGAACCCATGCTCTTCACCCCTGTTCTACCAGGGCCTCTGGGCTTGCCTCTGGTGTCCTGAACTTTTGCTGTAGGAACAAGCAAAGAGGCATTGAGGGTCTCCACCAAGCTTGAGTGCCCTACAACTCTCTCCCTCACAGCCTGGAGCTGAACTAAGATCCCAATTCCCACCACTCCCTTGGCTCTGAAGAGCACCCTGACACCCTCCCTTGTTACTGCCCTTCTAGGAGGTCACTGGGTAATGCCTTACTCCCCAGGAGCCAAGGAAAGAGGATGGTATGTAAGCATCTACGTTTTGTTCTTTTTTGTGACAGAGCCTCCCTCTGTTGCCCAGGCTGGAGTGCAGTGACACAATCTCAACTCACTGCAACCTCTGACTCCCAGGTTCAAGTTGATTCTCCTGCCTCAGCCTCCCAAGTAGCTGGGATTACAGGCGTATGCCACCACACATGGCTGATTTTTGTATTTTTAGTAGAGAAGGGGTTTTACCATGTTGGCCAGCCTGGTCTCGAACTCCTGACCTCAGGTGATCCACCTGCCTCAGCCTCCCAAAATGCTGGGATTACAGGCATGAGCTACTGCACCTGACCCTTTTTGTTCTTTAAACTTTTTTTAAAAAATTCTTTTTTAGAGACAGGGTCTCACTCAGGCTGGAGTGCAGTGGCACCATCATAGCTCACTGCAGCCTCAAACTCCTGGGCTCAACCAATCCTCCCACCTCAGCCTTCCCAGTAGTTGGAACTACAGGCATGCACCACATCCAGATTAAATTTTTTTAAAAAAATTTGTAGAGACAGGATCTCACTATGTTGTCCAGGCTGTCTTGAACTCCTGGGCTCAAGCAATCCTCCAGCCTCAGCTTCCAAATGTGCTGGGATTACAGGCATGAACCAAGGCACCGGCATATCTGTTTTGAAAGAGGGCAGAGGCCAGGGCATGGGACAGATTGGGGAGGGGGTACAGAGCACCTCGGGAGCAGTCCTAGTGCCCAGAGTGCCAAGGACTGAGGAAAGGGTAGAGTGGAGGTGGGCATGTCACTGCACTGGCATCCTTTTTGTGGAAGGGAGTCTACAGTGGCCAATGGGGACATATGTCCTCCTCTGTTCCCCTGCAATGCTCCAGACCCCTGTTTGCCACCTGGGCCAAGGCAGGTGGATCACTTGAGGTCAAGAGTTTGAGACCAGACTGGCCAATATGGTGAAACCCAGTCTCTACTAAAAATACAAAAATTAGCTAGGCATGGTGATGAGCAGCTGTAGTCCCAGCTACTTGGGAGTCTGAAGCAGGAGAGTAGCTTAAACCCTGGAGGCGAAGGTTGCAGTGAGCAGAGGTGGCGCCATTGCACTCCAGCCTGGGTAACAGAGCAAGACACTTTCTAAAAAAGAAAAAAAAAAGGCTGGGTACGGCTTACACCTGCAATCCCAACACTTTGGGAAGCTGAGGCAGGCAAATTACCTGATGTCAGGAGTTTGAGACAAGCCTGGCCAACATGGTGAAACCCGGTATCTACTGAAAATACAGAAATTAGCCAGGTGTGGTGGCAGGCGCCTGTAGTTCCAGCTACTTGGGAGGCTGAGGCAGGAGAACTGGCTTGAACCTGGGGGGCAGAGGCTGCAGTGAACCGAGATTACGACATTGCTCTCCAGCCTGGGGGACAAAAGTCAGCTTTTATCTCAAAAAATAAAAAAAAATAAGATAAGGATAATAATAGTACCTATGATAGCCTTGTTGTGAGCGTTCAATCAGACAACATTTGTAAATTGCATATATAACACGGTGCCTGGTGCTCAGGTAGGACTTGTGAGATGCCAGCTGTTACTAGGGGAGGGCTGGCAGGGGACAGGATGTGCTTCAGCTCCACTCCTGGTTCTTGAGTGCACTCCAGAGACCTCTACAGTGCTCTGTACCTGAGCTGTGAGCTGACCCCTCCATGCCCAACAGCCCTGGCTGCCAAAGGACTCTACCCTGCAGAGGCAGCCCCCGCCCCAACCCAGTCTTGTGAGCTGGTCCTGCCCCTTACCCCACAGCTGCCCCACCAAGCCTAGATCTCCAGCAAAGTGCCATGAGGGGCCCTGGTCCTGATCACTGGGGCCAGCCAGTCATAATTGGAGCCTGCCCCTCAGCTGGGAGCCTGGCACCGCTTCTCCCAGAGGCTCCTGGGCCACCCTGTCTGGTTGTTAGTAATAACAACAACTACTTAATAAACGGGGCTGCAGCCAAACCAAATAGTGCCATCCTACAAGAAGGCCTGAGGCAAGCTGAGGTCACCTGGAGTGTTGGGCTGGTTGGCGGGCAAACCACTCTGCTCTAACACCAAGCTCCTACCCTTACTGGCAGGCAGAATAGGATCCCACGGGGAGATCAGAGTGAGGTGCCTGCCCTTGGGTACTGAGGAGAGGGGAGGCCCAGTGTGGTAGCAGAAGGTGTTACTCCAAGCCAGGACACACCTGGGCCAGAATGGTCACTTCAGGGCCAGGGAATGGGACACTGAGTTGGGCTGGGTTGAATGAGCAACAGTCAAGGTTGAACGTACATGGGAAATACCAGTTTTAGTTTGTGTGTGTGTGTGTGTGTGTGTGTGTGTTTTGAGATGGAGTCTCACTCTGTCACCCAGGCTGGAGTGCAGTGGCATGATCTCTGCTTACTGCAACCTCTGCCTCCCGGGTTCAACTGATTCTCCTACTTCTGCTTCCCAAGTAGCTGGGACTACAGGCACCTGCCACCATGCCTGGCTAATTTTTGTATTTTTAGTAGAGACTGGTTTCACCATGTTGGCAAGGCCAGTTTCAAGCTCCTGACCTCAGATGATCTGCCCTCCTCAGCCTCCCAAAGTGCTGGGATTGCAGGTGTGAGCCGCCATGTTTGGCGGGTTTTCTTTTTTTTTTTCTTTTTTTTTGAGACTGGATCTCACTCTGTTGCCTGGACTGGAGTGCAGTGGAGAGATCATCTTCACTGCAGCCTTAAACTTGTAGGCTCAAATGATCCTCCTACCTCTGCTTCCCGTGAGATTACAGGTATATGCCACCACACCTTGGTAATTTTCAAAACTTTTTTGTGGAGACAGGGTCTCACTATGTTACCCAGGCTGGTATGGATTTCCTGAGCTCCAGCAATGCTCCCGCCGTGGCCTCCCCAAGTAGAAATCGCAGCACTGTTGTGGTTAGCCACGATTTATTGAGCATCTGCTGTTGCTCAGCCCTGTGTTAGGGATTCAGCATATGTTATTATGCCCTTTTATGAGGTGGGCAATATTACGCCTATTTCACAAATGAGGAAAGCGGTTCAGAGGGCTCAAGTGACTGGTACAGAAACCAAGTCTGTCTGGCTCCAAAGTCCAGGCCCTTCCCCCATGCCCTCCCCCATGACCCAGAAGCTTGCAGGGCTCTGAGAAAGAGGGAGTGAATTGCTAGCTAATAAGGGCCAGAAGGGGCTGGAACCCAGACTTCCTGATTCCCAGGGTTCCCCTCATCAAGCATCAGGCAAACAGCCTTTTCACTTGAAGGGTCCAATGCAATGGCATCACGATCCAGTTCCTTAAAGAGGCAGGCCAACAGCTATTATTACCCCCATTGCCAGATAAATCAACTGAGGCCCAAGGAAGGAAACCTATGCCTGGGACTCCGGAATCTCTGGTCAGGAAGAGAGCCAGGAGCTGCTGACCCTAAGGAGCAGGGTCCAGTGAGACAGGAAGGGACCAGGCAACCGGGTTGCCAGAGCCACAAGGTGAGGTCCCCCCTTGCCTGGCTCCTTCCACATGCCACAGTCAAGGACAAGAACACTTTAGGTGCTGAGCCTTATTCTATAAACAGGGACAATTGCTGTAGCAGGAGAAGGGGTGTGGTGCGGGGTGGGGCCTAACGGAATGATATTTGGAAAGAAGGCATGAAGAGGTTGGGGGCTGCAGGCGTGGGAGCACTTTTCCTGGCCAGGCAGGCATCACTGCGAGGTAAGGGCAGAGCCACTCTACTCCTAGTAGTGTGGGTTGGTGGGTTTGCCACAAGGGCTGCCTGGGGACACTGGTGAGTCCAGGTAAAGGCGACTGCTGAGCTCTAGCAGATGCGCCCGGGAGGGCTGGGGGTGCAGGCTTCCTGGAGGGCGATTGCCAGCGGGGTGGCCCGAAGCAGGTCTGGCGCCTCCACCCTCTCATTTGGAGGCTGGGAGGACCGGCGTCCCCGAGTTCCACTCACCTCCGAGGCCATGTTGGGCAGTTCCTTGTCGGGAAGCCTAGTCCTCCGGGTCTGGAAGACAAGACGGGACTGACGACCTCCTCGGCCAGCAGGGTACCCCAGGCCAGGCTGGCTCCGAACTCCGGGCACTGCGCTCGGCTGAGCGCAGCCCTTGGGGACGCGGACGTGAGAGCGCGCGACGGTTCTCGGAGTCCTCAGCGCCTGTCCCGCCCGTCCGACGGCCGCGTACTCACCTCTGCCTGGCCGCGTGGTCAGGGTTGCGCCAGCCACGGTTCTGGGATTTTCTAGCCAGGATGGCCTCAACTGCCGCCCGGCTCTGTCCCCGCCCCTGCCGGCGGCCCCGCCAATAGAAAGCCGCCTGGCGAGGTGGGCGTTGCCTCCTTCTTCCAATCCTGGCTGTGGGAGGGGACGCCTCCAGCGAAGCAGCAGGCTGAGCAGCTCTGGAGCTGGATGGAGGAGGGGAAGCGGGCGGGGAAAGGCTCTGGCGTCGAGCGGGGGGGGGGGGGGGGGGGCGGGGATAGGGGGAGGAAACCCAGGTAACGAATGGGGCGAGGCTTGGGGTTGCGGAGGGTGGTGTCCCGGCGGTACTGGAGACTCGGGCCTAGGGTAGAGCCTATGACATTAGGCCCGGATTTGGCGGGTTCATAAGATGTGTTAGGTGAAATGGCACGTTAGCTCATTCATTCATTCATTCATTCAGCAAACACGTACTGAGTGCCTCTACCGACCAGGTGCAGAGTTAAAAAGGCATTGAGGAAAAAGGAAGGAGCATAAGAAGTAAAGCCTGTGCCAGGCGCGGTGGCTCACAGCTGTACTCCCAGCACTTTGGGAGGCCAAGGTGGAAGGATCGCTTGAGGCTAGGAGTTGGAGACCAGCCTGGGCAATATAACAAGACCCCGTCTCTACAAAAAAAAAAAAAAAAAAATAGCCCGGCGTGGTGGTGCACTCCTGCAGTCCTAGCTACTCAGGAGGCCGAGGCGGGAGGAGAACTTAAGCCCAGGAGTTTGAGGCTGCAGTGAGCTATCGTGCCATTACACTCCAGCCTGACTCCTCTAAAAAAGAAAAGAAACGCAGCCAGGAGCGGTGGCTCAAGCCTGTAATCCCAGCACTTTGGGAGGCTGAGGCGGGCGGGTCACCTGAGGTCAGGAGTTCAAGACCAGCCTGACTAACATGGTGAAGAAACCCCGGCTAGTCTCTACTAGCCGTGTGTGGTGGCAGGCGTCTGTAGTCTCAACTACTTGGGAGGCTGAAGCAGGAGAATTGCTGGAACTTGGGAGGCGGAGGTTGCAGTGAGCCGAGATCGCACCACTGCACTCCAGCCTGGGTGACCGAGTGAGGCTCTGTATCAAAAAAAAAAAAAGAAAGAAAAAAAAGAAAGAAATGAAGCCTCACTTCAAGAAGTTCCAACATAGCATGGAGCAGGTGTGCAGGGAACAGGCAGGCCGGGGTGGTGGGAGAGTCTATGTTGGATACTCTGGGAAGATATCCTTGATCTGATTAATTATTAAATAATAATTATTATTAATTATTCACCAAAATGACAGACTGGATTCTAGGCACCGGGAGGACCCTGAAGTGAACCTGTCCTCTGCATTGGTGCTTGGAAGATGGGGGGAAGTTGCCCAGGGAGGAAGGGAAGAAGAACATTCCACCCAGAGGGAGAAGTCTGAACAAAAAAGGTGACTGGCCTTCTTAGAGAACAGGAAGTGGCTCTAACTATAATAAAAGATAGGGAGGAGAGGTGGAAGGAGTTTGGGGGAAGACTGTGAAGAGCTTTGAATGTAGAGAGGGAGTTGTTCTTTGTCCTATAGGTCATAGGGAGCCCCAGTCATGAGCCAAATTTATTTTATTTTATTTTTTTATAAATAAAAACATTCTTCCTTGGCCTCCCAAGTAGCTGGGATTACAGGTGCCTGCCACAGTGCCTGGCTAATTTTTGTAGTTTTAGTAAAGATGGGGTTTCACCATGTTGGCCTAGCTGGTCTTGAACTCCTGACCTCGTGATCCACCTGCCTTGGCCTCCCAAAGTGCTGGGATTACAGGTGTGAGCCACCGCACCCAGCCTTCAGGTAGTTCTTTATAGCAGTGGGACAAAAGACTAATAGACCCTACCTTTTCTCTTATAAATATCCCAGTCCTTAGATGTAGGGCCCCTGCTAACCCAAAATGATCTTGTTTTAACTTGATAACATCTGCAAAGACCCATTTATAAATGAGACCCGATTTACAGGTACTGGAAGTCAGGACTTGAACATATATTTCTGAGGACACAGTTTAATCCTCTACGTTGGGGTTTCCATAGTTGCTCATAGTCAAGTTGAGGAAGTTTCCTTCTCTTTCTAGTTTGTTGCTATGTTTGTTTAAACAGTGACTTATGCTCTTAGAGATTTAAATAGTAATAAAAGTCTTATATACTTATCTATGTACTTTTCATTTCCTATGCTCTTTGTTTCTTTCTGTCAATTCAGATTTTCATCTGTTATCATTTTCCTCCTGTGTGAGAAAATTATTTGTTATTTTATGTAGTGCAGTTCTGTTGGTGACGAACCGTCCCAGCCTTTGTATGTCTGAAAATATCTTTATTTCATCTGTGTTTTCTTTCTTTGTTTTTTTTTTTTTTTTTTTTGAGATGAAGTCTCACTCTGTCACCCAGGCTGGAGTGCAGTGGCGCAATCTTGGCTCACTGCAACCTCCACCTCCTGGGTTCAAGTGATTCTCCTGCCTCTGCCTCCTGAGTAGCTGGGATTACAGTTGTGTGCCATCACGGTTAGCTAATTTTTGTGTTTTTAGTAGAAACGGGATTTCACCATTTTAGCCAGGCTGGTCTTGAACTACTGGACTCAAGTGATCCACCAGCCTCAGCCTCCCAAAGTGCTGGGATTACAGGCATGAACCACCATGTCCAGACTTATTTTAATAATATTTTAATAAAGGACTGTTATCATATGGAAATGCTGGCCAGGTGCACTGGCTTATGCCTGTAATCACAACACTTTGAGAAGCTGAGGCAGGAGAATCACTTGAGACCAGGGGTTTGAGACTAACCTGGACAATAAGTGAGATTCTGTCTCTATTAAAAAAAAAAAAAGAAAAGAAAAGAGAAAAATAGAAATGCTATTGTATATAGGCATACCTCAAATATATTGCAGATTCAGTTTCAGACCACTGCAATAAAGTGAATGTTGCAATAAAGTGAGTCACACACATTTTTGGGTTTCCCAGTGCATATAAAAGTTATGTTTAGGGTCCGGTGCAGTGACTTATGCCTGTAAATCCCAGCGTTTTAGGAGGCCAAGGTGGGCGAATCATCTGAGGTCAGGAATTCGAGACCAGCTCCATCTCTGTAAAGATACAAAAATTAGCCAGGAGTGGCGGAGTGCACCTGTAAAGCCAGCTACTCAGGAGGCTGAGGCAGGAGAATCGCTTGAACCCAGGAGGCAGAGGTCACAGAGATCCAAGATTGTGCCACTACACTCCAGTCTGGGTGACAGACTGAGGCACTGTCTCAAAATATAAATAAATAAGTAAAAATAAAATAATAAAAGTTAAGTTTAGGCGGGACACAATGTGCCTGTAATCCCAGTGCTTAGAAGGTAAGTGCAGGAGGATAGCTTGAGGCCAGGAGTTTGAGAATAGCCTGGGAAATACAGCAAGACTCCCAGCTACTCATGAAGCTGAGGCAGGTGGATCACCTGAGCCCAGGTGTTCAAGGTTACAGTGAGCTATGATCAAGCCACTGCATTCTAGCCTCTTTTAGTGAGACCCTGCCTTAAAAAAAAAAAAAAGTTATGTTTACAGTGTTCTGTAGTCTCTTATTATTTATTTATTGTTGAGAGAGAGTCTCGCTCTGTTGCCCAGGCTGGACTGCAGTGGTGCTATCTCGGCTCACTGCAAACTCCCCCTGCTGGGTTCAAGTGATTCTCCTGCCTCAGCCTCCCAAGTAGCTGGGATTACAAGCATGTACCATCACCCCTGGCTAAATTTTTTTGTATTTTACTTTAGATGGGATTTCACCATGTTGGTCAGGCTGGTCTTGAACTCCTGACCTCAAATGATCCACCCACCTCAACCTTCAAAGTGCCGAGATTAGAGGTGTGAGCCATCATGCCCAGCCTCTGTAGTTTCTTAAGTGTGCCTATTACATCTACAAAAACAGTGTAGATACCTTAAATTAAAAATACTTTATTGCTTAAAAATATTAATGATTATCTGAGTTTTCAGTAAGTCATTATATTTTTGTTAGTGGAGGGCCTCGCCTCAATGTTGGTGGCTGCTGACTGATCCTGAAGGTTGAGATGGCTGTGGCAATTTCTCAAAATAAGACAGTAGTGAAGTCTGTGGCATCAATTGACTTCCAGCTTCACTGTAGCATGTGGTGCTGTTTGATAGCATTTTGCACATAGCAGAACTTTCTTTGAAATTAGAGTCAATCTTCTCAAACCCTGCTACTACTTTATGAACTAGGTTTTTGTGTAGTAATCTATATCTTTTGCTGTTGTTTCAACAAGGTTCAGAGTATCTTCACCAGGAGTACATCCAATCAGAAGAAACCGATTTTTTTGCTCAACCATGAGAAGCCATTGCTCATTCATTTAAGTTTGATTATGGGTTGAGCAATTCACTCCCATTTTCCGGCTGAACTTCTAATTCTAGTTCTCTTGCTAGTTCCACTATACCTGCAGTTCCTTCCTCAACTGAAGTCCCAAACATCCCAGAATCATTCATGAGCCACCCACCTCAGCTTCCCAAAGTGCTGGGATTACAGGCATGAGCCACCACACCCAGCCCCAACTTTTCTTCTACAGCTTCCTCATTCCTCTTGGCCTTCATAGAATTTAGAAGAGTCAGGGCCTTGCTCTGGGTTAGGTTTTCGCTTAAGGGAATGTTGTGGCTGGTTTGATCCTCTATCCAGACCACTCAAACTTTCTCTATATCAGCAATAAGACTATTTTGCTTTCTTTTCATTCATGTGCTCACTGGAGTAGAACTATTAATTTCCTTCAAGGTCTTTTCCTGCCCGGTGCGGTGGCTCATGCCTGTAATTCCAGCACTTTGGGAGGCTGAGGTGGGTGGATCATCTGAGGTCAGGAGTTCAAGACCAGCCTGGCCAACATGAGGAAACCCCGTCTCTACTAAAAATACAAAAACTAGCCAGGTATGGTGGTGCGCGCCTGTAATCCCAGCTACTCAAGAGGCTGAGGCAGGAGAATCACTTGAAACCAGGAGCAGAGGTTGCAGTGAGCCAAGATCTCGCCATTGCACTCCAGCCTGGGTGACAGAGAGAGACTCTGTCTCAAGAGAAAAAAAAAATAGAACTTTTCCTTT